TGATGCACTGCACGACCTCGCTGTCATGGAGTAGCCCCTAGGTAAGCATCATCCCGATGAGCTGCATACCGGGCGTCATCCCATATAGCGGGAGGACACGCACCATCAGGGGCGCCACCCTCCTCGCGTGATACCCCCCGATGACGCTAGCCCCGCAAAGGCTGTGGGTCTTTAGGAATGTGATGGTATCGAGGAGGTCATGCATCCTCTTCTTCTCCTTGACGAGTGGCCCCCACGGCCATGACGGCGGAACCTCTTCGATCCGACGCCCGAAGAAGATAGGTAAGGGAGCGGCAAGGTCGTCCTTTTGATAGAACAAATGCGAGTGCCACCCCTTGTTGGATCTGGAGAGCTGGCAGGGCATGTACCCGGTCGCCCGCTACCCCCGGAGGTGGATGCCCACGCATCCCATCGACATCGGGGTCTCCCGCCCTCTCTCCTTCTTCTTGATCAAGGAGATAGAGAAGAAATATCTGCACAGCTTGAAGTGGGGCTCGATTCCTAGGTACCCCTCCCACATCGTGATGAAGGCCGCGATGTGCTGGATCCCGTTGGGGTTCCAATGCTGCAGCTCAATCTAATAGTGGTGTAGCAGATCCCAGAAGAACAGGTGGGGAGGAACCGTGAGTCCACGCCCGTGGAAGGGCGTGAAGGAGACGACATAGCCATCGAACGGCGTCGGTGCATCCTCACGGTCGGGCACGGGCCACTTCGCCGCATCGGTCCTCCCGTGGAGAAGACCACGCTTGACGAGTCCCTCCATGCATGTATGGGTAACATCGAAGCGGTACCATGAATCCATGGAGGATGGAGGCGGTTGCGGAAAAGCAAAGGCGACGGCAGAGAAGTGGAAGCCACAGATCTAGGGCTCTAGCGGTGGATTAGCAAGCATGGCAGATCCAAATGGCGGCGGTGGAGAAACATAGAAGGTAAGACTGTGGTTTTGGTGTGCAGAAACATGAAGGGGAGGTCGCTATTTATAGGACGGAGGCGGGGCAAGAAGGCGAATAGTCCGCCTAGATTCACGCGCTCATTGCGCCAAGGCCACATCACCTCCTTCAAGATCGTATGCGCACGCTATCTCGCCGCGCCCTCAAAGAACACGCTGGATGACGGTTCGCCCAATCAATGGGCCAAGAACTGTCATAGGTAAGGTGGGATAAAGAGCTGAAAATTCTCCTACGGCCCATTCAGGCCCAGGAGTTCAAAGGTTGGCCCTCTGACGGGTTCACAGCCGCTCTGGGGCTCCCTTAGAGTGAGGGGTGGAAAGGTATGGGCCTACTAGCGGCCAGTACCCGGGCGCACGAGCGCCACGAACATCCCGGCCCACGTTCGAGTCTTGGTCGGTTCCTAGTCCATGGCTCAGCCCCTCCGTTTTATCGAAAAAAATACTCGAGGGATGACGATCACAAAGACGAGCCGACCCTCGACCGGACCCTTGCCACGTGTGGGGGCTTGAGGGAAGTTGGACTCGCAAGGAGACCGAATGCGCGGTCGCAGTATGACGGCGGACCGATTGGATCCTAGGGGGCTGGAATCAAGAACAACCTTTCCGACCTCCTGAATCCTACGGTTACATGCCCCCAAGAAGACCGATCGTGACATAAGAGAATCACCGTTCTACCAGGACACACCCCGGGCTAAAAAAAGAAGGCCAAGGCCCTCAGAGTCCTCCTATCCGAAAAAGCCTATAAAGAAGTATTCTACTCATCCACAGGCTCGGGGGCTACTATCGGGTATCGTTATTAAGGATACCCAAAGCAAGGAGGTTAGCGCCCACGCTGACTCCTCCGGATGGCTCGAGACATATTAAAAGGTCTCGAGCGACCCCAAGGCCGCGGCCTCTGTCTTACCCAAGATCGCAGGTTCCGTCTAGCCCAACCCCTCGGGTGCGGGCTCCGTCTCACTCGACCCTAAGGCCGTGGGCTTCGTCTCGCCCGACCCCTTGGGGGAGGGCTCCGTCTCACCCGACCCAAGGACACGGGCTCCATCTCGTCCAAGGTCGCGGGTTTCGTCTCGCCCGACCCCTCGGGTGTGGGCTCCGTCTCGCCCGACCCCTTGGGTTCGAGCTCCGTCTCACCCGACCCTAAGGACGCGGGTTCCGTCTCATCCGACGGGGACCCATACCGACGTCAACCACTCCAGGTCCAAGCGTATGGGCCTGGGTCAAAACTCTGACACCAGGAAAGAGGCTGGCATGCCTCGATGTAACCTATGACCATGACGGGCTATACCTGGCGATTCACATCAAGAACACTGTCGAGCATGCCGGTACTGTTCTGCCTAATCCTCGTACGGACGCTGACAGGTGCGTCAGTTCACCACGACGTCCGCCAGGACGGAATGGAACGCCATGACCGGCAGATGATGCATGCGCATGGCGCCAGTGACGAACAAGGCCGCGACGTGGAGCTGTCCCTGTTGACATCTACAGAATCGGCGGGATCCACATGAAGGAGAAGAAGGACTCGATAATCTTGGAAGCCTTCTTCTCTCTCTTCTCTCTCTTATTCTTCTCTTTTTCCTCCGCTGTAACCCGCGCTTTCCCTTCGCCTATAAAAGGGGAAGTAGGACGCCCCATGAAAAGGGGCCGGACCACGAGATAAAAACATAAGAGCACGACACGAGCACACGGCTGAACGGCAATCGAGCTCTCAGCACTCGTTCACTCCTTCCACCAGAGACTTGGGATCCTTTCCCTCTCTTGTGTTTGTAACCCCTACTGCAAACCAATGCCGGTAACACGAGCAACAACGAACTGGATGTAGTGACGTTACGCCCGAACCAGTATAAACCCTTGTGTCTTCCGAGTACACCATCCGAGTCAGACGCGAAAATACAAATTTACTTGTCGGTGTTCCGAAAACACCGACAACAAGTATATTCGTCAAATAAAAAACTTGAATTTAAATGAATAAGTTTTACCCTAAGAACACACAAACTGTTTGCCTATAATATACCACTGGTCACACCTCACTCACAGACTAACAAGTCAACAACGTATTGTACTCGACTCACATAACTAGTAATGTACAAACGTTAATCGTAACCCTGGTTAGGCCTTGACGTGCACGTCAGCAACGTAAGCGTGCAGCCGCTGTCACCCGTGCTCCCTCTTCCATGTGACCCTGTCCTCTCCCTGCCACGGCGGGAACGAACCAAAGGACGACCCGCTTTCTGTGGCTCGGGCACCGGGCCGCCCGAACCGAAAAGGAAAGGGGGCCCCGGGCCTGGCGCACAGTCAGAAGGGCTCAGGGCCTCAGGCCGCACACTTGACGCCGTTATGCTGGTCGGCCTCCTACCGGCCCGCCTGCTTCTGTACTGGCAGAATCTCCCAAACGTAACGGAACTGAACGGGATGACCGGAGCGGAGCAGTAGTCCGTAATAAACAACACACGCCTCGTGCGCTTCCTTCCCCTCCCTCCCTCCCTCTCCCTCTGTCTCTCGCGCTCTCTCGGCTTCCTCGCTTGCCTGTCTCCCTCCCCTCCTCGCTCGCTGGTTCGCTCCGGGCCTCCGTCTCCCTCACCAGTCACCCCACCCACTTCCACCCTCCCGTCGTTCCTTTCCTCTGTCGGCCGGCTCCTCGTCGCGTGGTCTGAAGGGAAGCTGGCCCAGAGGTGGAAAGAGCTAACCCCGGTGAAGGAATCTGAGCCACCTGCGCTCCGATCTGTCTTCCGAAGGACGCGGAGGGAGGAAGGCTCCGGATCGGGGATTTGCGTCCTTCCGCCACGCCCTGATGTGAGTTCTCTCTCTCACCCGAGCGCGGTGGTCCGATTTGTGGGCTTACCGTCTTGATTTCCCTGATGCGTCCATTTCCCGCGGTAGGGATGTGATGTGAGAAGAGGCGTCGTTTTTTTTTCTGCGCGTTTCTCGTCGGGATGTTCGCAAAAATGTTCCGGGGGTCCTCTGTCTCATATTCAAATTCCGCTTATTAGCAGTGCCGGTGAAGAGACCGTTCTGTACTCGTGTTGTCGAGAGCTTGCCAGCTGATGTCGCTGCTTCCGTTGCAGACCTGTTAGTGTTAGATCTTGTGTCCATCTCTTTCGATTTTTTGTAGCCCGTCGATTTGTTACTCGATTTATTCCTTAAAAGGTCTCTCCTTTTTTACCCACTCCCACCTTTGATGAATCAGGGGAAAAGGGTTCCTTTTGATCTTTTGACCACGGGGCGCCTAATTTCTAGCCTAGGACTGGGTTTGGCCGTACGGGGGCCGAAGTTTCTTTCTCGAAATGTTGCAACATGCCACCAAGAATGGTTGGTGACATGGTGTGTGATGCACTGATGCGACTTCTCCGGAATTAAAATGTTCTTGCCCTTCTCTGTTCTCCCGCAGCTGCACTCCACAAATTCTGTTGTGATATATGTATCAGTTTTTTTTTTTACTCTCGGAGACCCTGTCTCCCGTGTGTTCAATCGTGATGAGCTGTACTTGGAATTGATCTATTAATAATCATAACATATGTCGCTAGCTCTACGCTATGCTATTATTCACACGCTTTCACATCTAAGATTCTTTTCTTCGCGCAGGTCCAAATCGGCGATTGCTTCCGTGTAGGCACACTCAAAAGCAGTATTTCCCTGTGGGGTGGCGTGATCTCCACTGTTCTATCAGTGGAGCAGCCACGAAGGCTGTCGGAACCTTCCCTGTTACATATTCGCAGGCTAAGCCCCAAGTTTCTTGTAGGCTTTACTGCGCTGTTCTAGTTGGCGAAGATGTCGTTCCGCAGCATCGTTCGTGATGTTCGGGACAGTTTTGGTAGCCTGTCACGGCGCAGCTTTGAGGTGACTATCGCTGGCCTTTCTGGGCTCACCGTGCATCACAGGGGAAATCTCAGAGCACGGTGCATGAACTCCGTGATACGGATCTCATAATTCAGGAGAGCCGTTGGGCTAATCTCCTCTCTGAGCTCCTCCGTGATGTGATCCGGAGGCTGGAGGCTAGTGAGAGCACCTGGCCAAATCGCAAGCATGTTGTGTCCTGCGCTGCTGTTTGTCGGGCATGGAGGAGATGTGCCGAGATTGTGCTGAGCCTGAATTCAGTGGGAAGCTTACGTTCCCAGTCTCTCTAAAGCAGGTATGCTTAAATCCTTGACCTGATTACCTGAATGCTTTTGTGAATGATATTATGTACCTAATGATAGCACTTCCCAATACTTATTCTTATGTCTTTCATATTATTACTAACATTTGATAATGTTTGTCTTCACAGCCTGGGCCTCATGATGGAATGATTCAGTGTTTCATAAAGCGAGATAAATCAAAGTCCACATATCATCTCTACTTGTGCCTGAGCACTGGTATGTTGTGCCTTTCTTTTGCTTGTATGAGTAGATCGTTTATTGTTTTTTGAATTCCTACGATGATTGATATTTTGGCAAATATCTGCTAGCATCAAGCTCGACATTCTGGTCCTCTGTTCTGCCTGTGTCTTTCTGTCATTTCTGCCCAACATTTCTTCGATTCGAATGTAATTGTTGATTCGCCTTACTTTTCTGCATCAGCTGTACTTATGGAGAATGGCAAGTTCCTCTTATCAGCTAAAAGGAACCGCAAAACAACCTGCACGGAGTATATTATCTCGATGGATGCTGACAACATATCAAGATCTTGCAGCACATATATTGGAAAGCTGAGGTAATAGAATTGAAATGCAAGTGAATGGGTAGCCTTTCTTGTTTTTGCCTGGTTTATTTGATTGTGTCAGCTAATTGATGTATTTCTTGTCATTTCCAGGTCAAACTTCCTCGGCACAAAATTTATGATCTCTGACACACAGCCCCCCTTATAGTGGGGCTGTAGTCCCTCATGCTGGCCGGACAAGCCGAAGATTCAACTCCAAGAAGGTCTCCCCTAAGGTGCCAACTGGTAGCTACAACATAGCTCAGGTGACATACGAGCTAAATGTTCTTGGCACGAGAGGCCCTAGGCGGATGCACTGCGTCATGCACTCCATACCTGCCTTCGCAGTTGAGCCCGGTGGCATAGTCCCTGGACAGCCTGAGCAGATTCTGCCCCGGGCATTAGAGGAGTCCTTTCGCAGCACCACCTCCTTCTCCAAGTCATCCATCATGGACCGGTCCATGGACTTCAGCAGCGCCCGCTTTTCTGACATTGCCGGAGGCGCCATAGCTGGCGACGAAGAGGGACAGAACAAGGAGAGGCCGCTCGTGCTCCGCAACAAGGCCCCGAGATGGCACGAACAGCTGCAGTGCTGGTGCCTCAACTTCCGTGGCCGTGTAACCATCGCCTCGGTGAAGAATTTCCAGCTGATCGCCGCGCCAAGCCAGGCCCCTACCCCTGCCGCCGCTGGGGCTCCAACCCCATCACAGCCTGCTCCGCAAGACCAAAATAAGATCATTCTCCAGTTCGGTAAGGTGGCGAAGGATATGTTCACGATGGACTACCGCTACCCGCTCTCGGCCTTCCAGGCTTTCGCCATCTGTTTGAGTAGCTTCGACACCAAATTGGCCTGCGAGTAAATTAGACGCCGTAGAAGCAATGGAACAGTCCGGAGCTGGAAATGCACAAGAGGAGAGATGCATTTGGCCGTAGGATTTTAGTTTGATGTTTTTGCTTTCTGTTGTTTTCTCTCGTGGTTGTATTCTGCTTCCTGTTAACCTGGAACAACCGGACTTCTTCGCATGTATGTTTCACCTGCTGGCACCACGGTAGGTGCCATTCGTGTAATGTGCAAAAGATTCCGCCCTTACGTGAATGAATTGTTTTCGAGCTAGTGCATGTGCATGGCAGCATGGGTACTTGCGCTGTTATAAAGAGCAAGTATAATAGCATGGCTGGAAACCGGCTGTGAGGTGAAGGAGAGAGAAGAGAAGTGGAGGAGAGATGAGAGGAGACAGAAGAGAAACGGACTGTAAGCTTAACTGGTTTAAACACAAGAACCGAGAAATTTTGTAAGAGAGACAACTGGATCATGTATTAATAGTAAAGAGTTAATTACTATATGAGTGAGCTGAGAGAAGACTACATGCTCGTTGAAAATGAAGCTTGACTTCGCATGATGGAGCCTTGCTAGCTCTGGTTTTATTACAGTTCCAATATGGTTTGGTCACCGGTCATCATGGGCCATGGCATATGATCTGCAAACGCGCCGCCCATGTTTGCCGCGTTGAAGTACGGTGGTTATGTCTGATGGGAGAATCATTGTACATGTGTGTGCCCCTTTTTATGTCAGCAACAAAGCTGTTCTGTTGAGCTTCTTTAGGTTGAGCTTTTTTCGCCCCACTTCTTCTTTTTTTATATATAAATAAGGTCGAACACTTTCTGCGTGGATGAAGAGTGCACATTTCTGTAGCCACAAGGAGGAGCAGTACAGCTAGGACATGTGATGAAGAAGAAAGGGCCGGCGCATCAAATACGAACCCATGATGAGTGTGACTGGGTGAAGGAATGATCTCCTCTGTATGCAGCTGCAGGTGAGTATGTGACTTGAGTACAGGTCTCGTTCATTCGCTGAAAAGTACTGCTGAAGTAGTGCCGCGAAATAGGGCTATACTCAGTTTCCAATAAATAAAAAGAGTGTGTCAAAGCTGAGTGCATAGAACTGGACCATGGGTGAATAATGGATCCACACACTTTTTCTTCCAGGACAGGAAACAAAGCGCATTTGTGGCTTGCTTGGACGGCATGAGCGCGAGAAATGATGGGATGCATTGTGACCCGGCAATCATTCCCGGTGCCACACGAGGGGCTCTCGCCTCCCAGAACGGTGGCAGGCAGGACGAGCCCTGCAGTCCAGTGGCCTCATCACTAGATCGGCAGTGGCTACCAGGCTTGGTGCTCAATATGATTCACGAGGACCGCTTCTCCTCGACGAGGTTTCTGGTGTGGTGTCGGTGTGTGATCGCGTCTGGGTATTCAGATCCAGTAGGAGATCGAACCGAATCTCTCGGTTTTAACTTTTAACTGGGTGGAGGTGCGGACGCGTTCGTGCGATGCAACTCGGCGAGCATCACTCCCCTGTAGGCTAGCTCACTCAGGTGGGGGAATTTCTGATCTTGTCTGCTCGCTTTTCTAGCCGATTCTCTCTCGTGGGCAGCGTGCTGGTGCCTGGTGGGGCGACGCGGTGGAATCCCACTGCCACTAACCATGGTGGCGAGTCGACTGGCAAGTGCGATGCGATGGGAAGAAGGATTCTCCTTCGCCGTCGTAGCGAATGATGCCCGATGCCCGATGGTATAATACGGTGTTCTGGCTGCTCTGGTCGCCAGATTCTCTCCGTTGCTGCCCGGGGTCTCGAACTGCATGATTGAACCGCCTTTATATCTTGTGGCGGGGGGGCCTTGGCTGCTTTTCCCAAGTGGAACATCCATGGATTTTCAGTTTCCGAATAGGGGCGGGCTCCAGGTTTGGTATAATCGACTTGCTTTGAATAAAATTTTGGTGGGTCGCCAGGCTCAATCGCACTTTGTGAGAGTGTCAAGTGTACAACCACGCAAAACATCGTTGAAACATAAATCCTCGATTTGCTCTTGCTTGCATGATGTCAAATAGGGCCTAAAATTGTGGTCATGACACTATATTGTTATCAAAGTCACTTATACCTTTTCATATGCATTCTTGCTCGAGTTGGATGATGGAAAATTCTCCGGGTCATTGATGTAGAATAACGTGTTTCCAGGCTGTTCTTGCGTTTGTGAGACGTGACCTCGTGGGCCTTAGTTTTTTTTTGGTCAGCGAATGCCGTGGCCTGTGGCCCATAAAATTGGAAAGCCAGCAGCGACGAGGCCGGTCTCGTAACAACCATGGCCCATTGCTAATGAACGGGTTCACTCACGGGCTATTATTCGGCCCATAACCGTCAGCCCTACAATGCCTCCGCCCGCAGCCGCTTGTAAGAAGATGCGGCCCGTTTACGCGGCGTGGCCTTCTGATTCCTCGGGAGCAGCGCCGACCCTCCAACGCCTAAGGCCCGTTTAGATCCAAAATGTTTTGGATTTTGATTCAACGTAGCATTTCGTTTGTATTTGATAATTAGTATCTAATTATAGACTAATTAGATTTAAAAGTTTTGTCTCGTGATTTCTTATTTAACTGTACAATTAATTTTTTTTTCGTCTACATTTAATACTCCATATATCGTAAAATTCGATATAACAAATACTACATAAAATTTTTTAAAATCTAAACATGCCCTAAAAAGCAGGCCCCGAAGTACTTGCTGGCACTGGCAGGGCAGCAGCGGCATAGTTCCTTCAAATTGAATTTGGTACTATGCAAAAATAACATTCCTCGTTATATTAAATTTACAGTCTACATGAAATACTAAATATTGATGAAATCAAAAATTAAATATACAATTTAATTATACTTTACGAGACGAACGTTTTGAGCCTAATTAGTCAGCGATCGGACAATTATTAAACAAGTAGCTACTGATTTCGTCGGCGCCGATTCGGGCGAATGGCCGAAGAGGGTTTTCCGCCGCGCGGTTTCGGGGTGAGGGTGAGGCGGAAACCCTCGTCTCCTCCACGCCGTCCGTGAGGAGGGTTCCGTCGCTCCGGTGTGCCGGCGGCAGCGACCCCCCGCCCCTTCGCTCGGGAGGTTCTCCGATCTCGCTTCCTACGTTTGATTTGTTTTTTTTTTGAGAGATCACGGTTGATTTGTCTCTCTCCCTCTGCGTCTGGCCTGTTTCAGTTTTGCCATGGTTTTGAAACATCAATCGAGATCGCGGCGTGGATGAGTCTTTTTTCCTGCTTTCCTGTTACTGACTTTTGCGGCGATATTTGGATTTTTGCATTTTTCCCGATGATGATGGCGATGGCCCTCTCCGACCTGTTGAATGGATGGATGGATAGATAGATCGGATCGGATTTGAACTCCACGGGGTCACTCCTTTGCGTTTGCAAGGTCGGAGCTCCTTGAATGGCTAATGCAGGGTCGGCTCCTCCGTCTTGTGGGTGTCGAAGCCTGCTCAGGTACCGGATGCTCACTCACTCTACTGACAAGTGGGACTGCCCTTGTGGCAGGCTTATCGCCTCCTCCTCTTCCTAAATCCTAAACCCTAAACCCTACACTGCATTAGCTTCTGATGGAAATCAAACGAGCTTGTCAATCTGAGGGCTATTTTGCAAAGAAAACATTTCTGCGTGTCCATTGGATCTGACTTGAGGATCTCTTGCAAAGCAAACATTTCTGTGTGTCAATTGGGATTGACTTGCGGACCTCTTTTTGAGAGACAAATTTCAGCGTGCTGAGGTTTACTACCTTGTTGTAAGAAATGATTTTGCTGGATGAAGTATTTATCTTTGAATGAACACATCACTCATCCCTGTGCCTCATGTATATTATCGCTACTACTTGCATAGTTCAAATTCTAATTCTACTATTATAGTTGCTCGTCTTGCTTATCCACTGTTTTTGTTGAGCGTTAATGAATTAATAACCATAAAAACTGTACTACACATATTGATACTGTTACGGTTGTATCAATTTATTTTAGGCCATTTTCAAGTTTCACTATCTTGTTGCTTGATTTGCTTTTGCTCCGATGTTGATGAGACTTGTGGATTGATGAATAAATGAGCTGAAATGGCTTGTGCTGTTTTGCCATCTCCACAGTCCACATTCTCGGTGCTTAGGCATGCTGAAGTATTTGATGAGATCAAGTAGCCAAACTGACGACTGGCCCATTGTTTTCTTTTCTTCCTCGTCCTCCTAACCTCTAGTTGTCAGTTGTCACTGCTGGCATAATCGCAGTCATGTTCTTCTACCGATCATCCCCGGGGCATGCTCCACTTCTAATGTTGGAGCCTGCTGCATTAGCCTTTGATGAAACATGGCATATCATGCCTATCGCATGGTCTGAGGCCATTTGGCAGTGTAGACCATTGGTTAGTTTGATTTTCTTTCCCTTTTTGTGATGAACTTATCTGTCCGAGGCCTCAATGCCCACCTTCATTCGGTTCTATCATGGAGAGCTAGGTGTCATTCTCAAGTGGAACTTGGTCTTCTGTTGTAAGATGGGAATTGCAGGCATTTTGTGATCCTTTTTAAAAAAATATATATATGTTTGTGGTTTCACCTCTCCTGTCACCTTTCTTTTTTATTCGTTTTCTTAAACTTAATGTAATCATATTCACTCCATTTTCGCACCCCCATTTGTGAAGTTGTGGCTGCACCAAGTTCCTAGTTTGAAGATATAGTGACTGCCCATCTTTTAGACAATGAATGGCAGCATTACCTTTTATATTTTCTAAAAAAAATGTTCTGCCCAATGATGAAAACCGAATATGCAAAGATGGCATATGATTTCCTCCCATCCTCCTCCAACTCCTCTTCCTCCTCTCTCTCTCTCTCTCTCTCTCTCTCTCTCTGCCTGTCTATCTCTCTGTGTGTTCAGAGGGAGTGTTCGTTTCGCTGAAATTTGGCTGTCGGGAGGCGTCTTGTGCCATCAATGAATGTTGTTTCTTTTTGACCTGAGGGCAAGCTTTTCACTTATCTTACTCATATGTATCCATTT